CAGAGGCCGGGGGGTGGGGGCTGGGCCCGGTGCTGATCTCTCCCCTCCCCCCAGGATGACGACCCAAGGAGTGGGGATGGTGGAGTCAGTGAACGTGAGCTTCTGGGGCAAACCGCTGCCCAGTTGCCAGCCCCTTGAGGGGCAGAGCCGGGAGGTGAAAGAGAAGGAGCCGTGTCTCAACATGCCCCCCTGCATGGAGGAGCAGGAGGATGGTGAGCTGGAGGGTGGGGTGGAGGGTGAGTGGGGCTGGGAGCCAGGAATCCTGGGTTCTGGGGGGAAGTGAGGCCTAGTGGTTAAAGCAGGGGGCTGGGAGCCAGGAATCCTGGGTTCTGGGGGGAAGTGAGGCCTAGTGGTTAAAGCAGGGGGCTGGGAGCCAGGAATCCTGGGTTCTGGGGGGAAGTGAGGCCTAGTGGTTAAAGCAGGGGGCTGGGAGCCAGGAATCCTGGGTTCTGGGGGGAAGTGAGGCCTAGTGGTTAAAGCAGGGGGCTGGGAGCCAGGAATCCTGGGTTCTGGGGGGAAGTGAGGCCTAGTGGTTAAAGCAGGGGGCTGGGAGCCAGGAATCCTGGGTTCTGGGGGGAAGTGAGGCCTAGTGGTTAAAGCAGGGGGCTGGGAGCCAGGAATCCTGGGTTCTGGGGGGAAGTGAGGCCTAGTGGTTAAAGCAGGGGGCTGGGAGCCAGGAATCCTGGGTTCTGGGGGGAAGTGAGGCCTAGTGGTTAAAGCAGGGGGCTGGGAGCCAGGAATCCTGGGTTCTGGGGGGAAGTGAGGCCTAGTGGTTAAAGCAGGCCCTGTCTCCCACCTCAGGCGCTAAGGGCAGGGAGTAGCATGGGGCATGAGACCTGGTCTGGGGGCGAGATGGGGGGTGCGCACACAGTTTAATCACTGCCTGTTCTTCCCAGACTGATCTGGCAGGAGCCATGCGAAGGTGCCCCCATCCCCCGAAAGGAGCCAGGAGCTCTCCGACAGCCCCTCTCTGCCCCCCTTCCCTACGGAAACACAACGGCGCCCCCCCTGCATGATGACCCTCTGGCACCCCGCTCTCCAGAGCCCCCCCTTTGCTGTGGGGTATGAGAATCCATCGCAATAAAGCAAGCTAATGGGACCCACTGGGCTGTGTGTGGGGGGGATGGGGACTAGTGATCAGAGTGCGGGACAGGGCTGGGAGACAGGACACCCGCTCTCCAGAGCCCCCCCTTTGCTGTGGGGTATGAGAATCCATCGCAATAAAGCAAGCTAATGGGACCCACTGGGCTGTGTGTGGGGGGGATGGGGACTAGTGGTTAGAGTGCGGGACAGGGCTGGGAGACAGGACACCTGGGTTCTCTCCGTGGCTCTGGAAGGGGGGAGGGTGTTAGAGCAGACCTGGGAGCCAGGACGCCTGGGTTCTATGCCTTGCTGGGGGGGGGGCTGGCAAAACATGGGGGGGCTGACCACTCAAAGCCGCAGGCCAAGAAAGCCACAGCCAGCCGCCTGGAGCCCCCACCCCAGCTATGGGCCCGCCAGGCTCGGGC